TTGTGGAAACTGCAGTGTGACTAAATTCTACCCATCTTTTTGTCACAATGATGTCAATCCTACATAGGCATTGCGGAAGGATGGAAATTGTTTTTAGGGTGAATATAAAATATATTTTATATCTGTAAAGTTTTATAGTTTTCTGTGACTGTAAGAATTTATACTAAAGATGCAGAGAAATAATGTATTATAGTCTTTTCCTTGCCATGTTCGTGTCGGACAAAAAACCCCAAAGAGTGCTTAGGGGAAAATTAACTAGATTTTGAAGTCCTTTGGGTAACATAGTGTGATTTTAATTCTTTTAATTTAAAAGCTTTTGTGAAATCATTTGCACAAATGGTGTTCACTATTAACTTTCAGGGAAGTAAAGACCAACTGAAAGAGGTATGGGAGGAAGCAGATGGCCTAGATCCTAATGATTTTGATCCAAAGACTTTTTTCAAGTTGCATGGTAAGATTTATAGTTAAAAAAACATTAAGAAACAGAATTATCACATAACATTGACAATCTTTTGCACTTTTCAGACTGACAAATGTATCTTGGCATGTGCTTTTCAGGAGAACTTCAACAGATGCACGACATGTTTTTTTTTTCATATACTGTATAACCAACAACATATATATACATTGTTGTACATGGGTTTGTATTCACTTTTCCTAATCAGACAGCCCACCATATGACTTGAAGCAACATATACAGATATTAAAGTGGGATTGATTGTGTTCTAGAGTTATGGACGGGTGTCTCTGTAATTTATATTCATATGCCTTTTTTAACAGATGTCAATGCTGATGGTTTTCTGGATGAACAGGAATTAGAAGCTCTATTTACTAGGGAGGTAAATATGGATTGTTTCAGAATCATGTTTCATTTGGCTCAGTGCATGAACAAACAATGACTATTGAATGGGAATGTTAGAATGGAAATTGAGTGTCCACAGTTTAATTAAATATATCATACTCAAACTCTAATAGATTTGTACAAAACAGAATAGTACTACTATTTCTATAGGTATTCTTTGGGGGCACTCATAACAATTGATTAACAAATATAATGAATGTCAGGAAAATATTTAACATAGGTGATCATCAGTATCTACTATTTCAGATATTAATTGAATAATAAAAACAGCTTATGAATTGATTTCAGTAGTACTGAATGTCATTAGAGTGATATATCTTAATCTAAGCAGGCTCCCCCATCATTTTGGACTTCAGCTTTCATAAACTATAAATAATTTTTTTAATATTGCTGAGTGAGTGCTGCTGACTAATGAGAAGTACATTCAAAATATCTGGCAGTCATTAAGCTCAGATTAGCAGTATCGTGTAAATGTCCCATAATTATGCATATGTATTCAAGGATATGTGGGTTGTTTGGGTATGAATGGAAGGTTAATTCCTCAATTTCTTAATAATTTATTCATCTTCAACATTGAAGTTTCAGTGTCCTCTATCAATCTATACACTACTAAAACCCCATCAATAAATTCCCTTTAACTGTAAGGCAAAACCTTTTGATCCAAGATATCTCAGATGGGCTAAATTATAGAATGCATCTAAAATCCAGGACTCATGACTCCCGTGGAATTGAAATTTGGCAAATTTCATAAAACATTTTATGATGTAAACATACTAATGTCATAAAACATTTCCTGTGCTGAAGCTTGACTGTGCTATATACTTCAGAACGGGCTATTTTCAAGGCACATCTCTGAATATCTCCCAGTGAATTGTTAGATATAAGTATGTGCTATTAAATATGTTGAAAGAAAACATTTTTCTCATAAATATCTATTTTTTTAATGTTTTTTTTGCTTCTTTATGAGGTTAATCACACTGTGACTATTTTAACTTTTGCTATACTTTGATATACTTCGTAAGTTGTTGAGAGTTGTCTGTTTGCAGTGAGGTGTACGTTTAATAAATAAATAGCATTAAAGCAACGTATTTTCATAATAAATTTGGATGGCCTGTTCAAAACAAATGTCTTAATCTTAGCTAGAGAAAGTCTATGACCCCAGAAATGAAGAGGAT